CCATTTCCTCGGTTTTCTCTCCTTTCTTAGCTTTGGGTTCTTTTAGAGACTCCTCTTTAAATAGGATCTGAGCCTTCCTGCTCTTCTAGCTGTAATGGCTTGCTACCGTATAGCAGCCCCGCAGAAGCGGTGGTATGGTGTGAGGCGAGAGGAACAAAATAGGGGACACCTGAGTGACTCAGTTGGTTAAGCATCTGACTCTTGATTTTGGCTCAGGTAATGATCTCTCAGTTCCGAGTTCAAAATGCATATGAGGCTCACTGCTGTCAGCGTGGAGCCTGCTTCAGATCCTCTCTTCCCTCTCTCTGCCCCTCCCCTGCTTGTGATCTCTCAAAACTAAAAAGAAAAAGAAAAGAAGGTGGGGGGTGGGGCGGGGCATTCCATTTTCCACGGATTAGGTCTCAGTCTTTTCCCAATGCCTCTGGGCTTTGACCTTCACACAACCCGTGCCCCTTGACTGTGACCTTCACAATAGCTTCTTCATCCCTGCCCTCCCACCCTCCTTAGGGGACACAGTGGCACAAGAGGAAGCTGGACTTGGGTTTACCCTTTTCCCTCGTTGGTTTGGCTCCAGTAGAGTGGCTTCCCTTGGGGCACACCTAGTTAAAGAGAACAAAATGCTCTGGACATATTTCAAGATGAAAACTTTTCACCTTCTCTTAGCCCTTTTTCTGCCAAGATGCAGCAGAATTTTTTCCTGCTCTTCACTGTGTAAGCCTGGTAGAGTTCCTGGAGGTAAATTTCAAGAAAGTGTGAGGACCCGAGCCTTCTATAGAATTTTTATCTTACAAACTTGTCTACACTGAGCCTGCAGCAACCCATCAGAGTTGAAATCTTCCTACCTTGGTTCTATTCCAGCAGTTTCTTCTCCTAGGCTACGTTTTCAGTAAGCTATAATTCTTGGTATTCAACCTCTTCAATTTTCAGAGTGGTAGTTTGTTTTATGACTTTTATTCTAGGATAATATTAAAAGGAGTTGATTTTTAGTTTGTGTAGCTTTTTGCTTATTGTGAGATGGGTAATGACTTCCACACTGTTTAAATTTTGGAACAGAAACTAGAAGCCCATGGCTCAACTTTGCACTTTTTTGAAAGTCTTTTGAAGCCTTTTTTTTTCATACCTAGAGTAATTTCACTTGGGGAGTGTGAAGCATCACTTTTGTATTTTGCTGCATTTGATTTAAAAGTATCTTGTGGACAATTCTTGCATCTTTATTCATATGGGTCATATGGGATATTGATCTGTAAATTGTTTTTCTTGTGATATCTTTGTATGGTTCTAATATATGAGCAATACTGGCATTATGGAATAAATTGAGAACTGTTCTGACCTCTAAATTTTGGAGGAACTGTAGAAGGATTCACGTCAATTTGTCTTTAAATATTTGAAGAAATAACCAGTGAAGCCATCTGGCCCTGGCCTTTTCTTTATTGGAAGGTTTTTGATTATGTATTTATTATATTTACCTGTAATAAGTATATGCATATTTTCTATTTTTCTTGTTTCACTTTTTGTAGTTTGTGCATTCCTAGGAATTTGGCCATTTCATCTAGGTTATCTAATACACTGTCACAGAATTCTTCATAATATTCCCTTGTAAGACCATTTTGATTTTTCTAAGGCTGATACCAGTTTCTCCTCATTTATTTCAAAACTGATTTTACTCGTTTGAGGCTTCTCTCTTACTTACTTGTTATTCTACCTAAAGTTTGACAAGTTTATTGATCTGTTCAGAGAATCAACTTAAAAATTTATTTTGTATGTTTATTCATTTTGAGAGACAGAGAGTGAGCAGAGAAGGGGAAGAGAGAGAGGGAGACACAGAATCTGAAGCAGGCTCCAGGCTCTGAGCTGTCAGCACAGAGCCTGACATGGGGCTCAACCCACAATCTGTGACATCATGACCTGAGCGAAAGTCAGAAGCTTAACCGACTGAGCCACCCAGGCACTCCAAGAGTCAACTTTTTAAAAAAATATTCTTCATTGTATTTCTAACTTACCTTTTATTTATTTCTGCTGTAATCTTTATTACCTCCTTTCCTCTGTTTGCTTTAGGTTTAGTCTGAATTTTTTATTCTCATTTTTAAGGTGGAAATTTAGGTAATTTTTCTTCTCTTTTAATTATAGCCATTTGAAAGTATAAATTTAACTGCAGACAGTGCAATAGCCACATCCTGTAAGATTTGGTATACTGTTTTTATGGTTTTATTCATTAGAAAATATATTCCAACTTACCTGTGACTTCCATGGTAATTAGGTTTTTGGTTACTTAAGAAAGAATGCATTGTTTAATTTTCACATATTTTTAAAAATTTCTCAAGTTTCCTTCCATTATTAATTTCTTGTTACGTGTCATTGCATTCAGATAATTTTGTATATTGTATTTCTGTTTCAGTGCATTGAGAATTGTTTTATGGACTAGCATATGGTCTATACTGGCACACGTGAACTTTAAACAGAATGTGTATTCATATTCAGATCATCTATAGATTTCTCATGGTTCTAACTAATGTATAGTATTTTTTAGATGTTTTATTTGCTTGTTGATCTTTATTTTTTAATTTTTTTTAATGTTTTATTTATTTTGAGAGAAGAAGAGAGTGTGAGCAGGGAAGGGTCAGAGAGAGTGGGAGACACAGAATCTGAAACAGAGTCCAGGCTCTGAGCTGTCAGCATAGAGCCCGACACGGGGCTCGAACCCATGAACCGCGAGATCATGACCTGAGCCGAAGTAGGACGCTAAACAGACTGAGCCACCCAGATGCCCCTGCTTGTTGATCTTTCTAGTTGCTCTACCTAATATGGTGAATATTTACAGTCTCTAACTATGATTGTTGAATTATTTTTTTCTCCCTTTAATTTTGTCATTTTTTATTTTATGTATTTCTGAACTCTGTTGTTAGCTGTTTATATTTGTGATGTATTTGTGATATATTATCCCTTTTGCCATTAAAAGACATCCTTTTATGTTTCTAGTAGCAACTTTGTCTTTTTGTGTATTTTGTCTGATATTAATGGACTCCTCCAATTTTTTTTCCATTACTATTTGAATAGTGTACCTTTTTCTATCCTTATATTTTCAACCTTTTGTGTCTTTCAGTATAAAGTATGTCTTCTAAAAACACAATATGGTTCGTTCATGGTTTGTTTAAGTTTATTTATTTATGTTGAGAGAGAGAGAGCATGCTTGTGGGGGGGTGAGGATGGGGCATTATGAGGGAAAGAGAATCTCAGGCAGGTCCTGCATTGTCAGCACAGAGGCCAACGTGGGGCTTGAACTCCTGAACCCCTGATTATGACCTGAGCCGAAATCAAGAGTCAAGCTTAATCAAATGAGTTACCCAGGTGGCAGAGTTGGTTCATGTTTTTTTATCCAGTCTGCTGCGGCTGCCTTTTAATTGAAGTGTTTATATTTAATCCATCATATTTAATCTAATTACCGATCAGGTAAGATTTTATTTTGGTTTTCCCCCCATATCTTTTTGTTTTGCTATTCCTCTATTTCTGTATTGTTACCTTGTTTTGTGTTATTTTCAAGAGAACAATTTTATTATTTTGTCATTTCTTTTAAAGTAATTTACAATGGAGGCCTCTAGACTATTCTCTTTTATTGTTTGTGAGGTAGTTGGTTTTCAAGGCTACTGTGACGCTGAGGCAAGGGAGATGGGGATAGGGCTAGTTGGAACATTCCAGATGGGTTTTTTTTTTTTTTTGAGGAAAACACAGCGCCTGTTCCTACAAGTCTGATTAATTTCTAGATTTCTGAAAAGCTTTTTAAAAAAATTTTTTTTATTAATTTTTTTTTAACATTTGTTTTTGTGAGACAGAAAGAAGCAGAGCACAAGTGGGGGAGGGGCAGAGAGAGAGGGAGACAGAATCAGAAGCAGGCTCCAGGCTCTGAGCTGTCAACACAGAGCCGGACAGGGGACCCAAACTCACAGGCTGTGAGATCATGACCTGAGCCGAAGTCGGATGCTTAACTGACTAAGCTACCCAGGTGCCCCCAAAAAGTTTAATGATTTTTGCCAGTGTTCTTTTTGGCTTTATGGAGGAGAGGATTTTCAGAGGTTCTTACACTAATACTTTGCTGATTAATTTCTACCACCAGGTTTTTAATTTAATTTAATTTTTTATTGATGTATAATTGACTTTTAACATTATGTTAGGTTCAGATGTAAAATATAATGATTCAGGATTTGTGTATTTTGTGATATGATCACCACAATAAGTTTAGTTGTCATCTGTCACCATACATAGTTATAATTCTTTTTTTCTTATGTCGAGGGCTTTTAAAGTTTACTCTCTTAGGAACTTTCAAATATGCAATACAGCATTGTTAATCGTAGTTACCATACTGTGCATTATATCTCCATGACCATTTTATAACTAGAAGGTTGTGCTTTTTGACCCCATTCACCAATTTAACTCACTCCCAGAATACCTCCTCTTTAGCAACCACCATCTGTTTTCTGTAACTGTGAGCTTGTTTTATTTCTTTTGTTTATTTGTTTGACTTTTAGGTTTCACATTTAAGTAAGATGTCTTCTTTTAAATATTTCTCTATTTGATTTGTTTCACTTAGTAGAAATGCCCTCATAATCAATCCAGGTTATCCCGAATGGCAAGATGTTATTATTTTTTATGGCTAAATAGCATTCCATTGTGCAAATAAACCACATCTTTATCAGTTCATACATCAATGGTTACTTGGGTTGTTGCCATATCTTTGCTATTATAAATAATGATGCAATGAACATGGAGGTGCATCTATCTTTTTGAATTAGTATTCTCATTTTCTTTATAAATACTCAATAGTAGAATCGCTGGATTATATGGTAGTTCTAGTTTTAGGTTTTTGAAGAACCTCCATACTATTTTCCATTGTGGCTATACCAATTTACATTCCCACCAATGTTACACAAGCATTTCTTTTTATCTACATCCTCACCAACACTTGTTATTTCTTATCTTTTTAATAAAATTACTTTTCATTTCTTTAGAGAGGGGGAAAAGGAACCGAAGGAGCTTGATGTGAGGCTGGACCCTGGGACCCTGAACTGATATCAAGCGTTGAATGCTCAACCGACTGAGCCACTCAGGTGCCCCTTAATTTTTAATAATAGCTATTCTATCCGCTTAGAGGTGACATCTGCTTATGTTTGTGATTTGCATTTGCCTAATGATGACTGATGTTCAGCATCTTTTCATGTGCCTGTTGGCCATTTGAGTCTTCTTTGAGAAACATCTATTCAGATTATTTGCCCTCTTTTTAATCAAATCATTCTTTTGGCTATGAATTGTATTAGTTCTTTATATTTTTTAGATATTAACCCCTTATCAGATATATGATATGCAAACATTTTCTTTTGTTAGGAGATTGACTCTTCATTTTACTGATGTTTTCCTTTCTTGTGAAGATATTTTTAATTTAACATAGTCCCACTAGTTTATTTTTGCTTTTGTTGCCTTTGCTTTTAGAGTCAGTTCCAAAAAAATTATCACCAACGCCTGTGTTAAGGAATTTGCTGTCTATATATTCTTCTAAGAGTTTTATGGTTTTGGGTCTTACATTCAAGTCTTTAATGCATTTGAGCCAATTCTCGTTTATAGTATGAGACATTAGTCAATTTTATTCTTTTGCATGTGGCTGTCCAGTTTTTCCAATGCTATTCATTGAAGAGACTATCCTTTCTCCATTGTATGTTCTTGGCTCCTTTGTTGTAAATAAATTGGCCATGTATGTGTGGGTTGATTTCTGGGCTCTCTATTCTGTTCTATTGAGCTATGTATCTGTTTTTATGCCAATACTAGACTGTTTTGATTACTCTAGCTTTATAATGTAGTTGGAAATCAGGAAGTACGATGCCTCCAGCTTTGCTCTTTCTTCCCAATATTACTTTTCTAGTCTGCCAGCTCAGGCCCAATGTGCAGAACTTCCCCCCTTAAGAGGCCTCTTCAGCTCTTTGTTGTTGTTATTTGTTTGTTGGTTTTGTTTTCTTCTGTTTGCACCTATACCAAGAAACCACACAGCTGTCAGCCTGTACTTTTACATAACAATTAATTTAGCTGACTTTCAAGTTAAGTATTTAGCTCTTTGATGCTACTCAGTCTGGTAGATTTCCTATCAATTTGCTACTTTCTTTCCCAGATGCCACACCCCCCCCACACACACACTTCCTTCACATACAGAGAGGTATTTCGAAGTTCTAAAATATGGTGCTTTCAGTAAAGTCAAGCAAAAAGGAAAAAAAAATCTTGTACTTAAATCATTTTAAAAAGCCACTTGCAATTAATTCAACCTAGCTAGTTTTCAGGGTTTATTTATTGATTTATTTATATAAGTAAAATATACAGGTAGAGGCTATGAAATGTGAGAACTCCTAGTGAACAAATTATGCCATTCTCTCACCAGTAAACATTTTGTGGCTTGCCATAGACTAGGAAAAAAATATGTCATCCCAAAAGACATTAAAAGTAGTGCAAATTTGTACTTGCCTCTCCTCAATATTTTTTTTATCTTTGGAGTATTTCATCTAGTATGCATCCTGATTATAATGTAAAGACTTTGCTACTTCTGTTCATTATAACAGTTTATTTGTTGTAAATAAAATAATTTCTTTATTTTGAAATAAATTTATATTTAAAATATTACTGGATCAGAATTATGACAGTTACCAGAAATAGAAATTATATTTTATATTTTATATAGGAAATTTACAGAATACAAAAATATTTTGAAGTTTGAAATGAGAATACAAATATTAAAAGAACATAAAATATCTAAAATAGTTTGGTTTCTACCAAGAAACCATTGAAGAACAGAGATTGTATAGCAATTATAACTTGAAAGGATAAATGCATGTGAGGCAATTGAATAGAAGTGAGCATGGTAGGGGGCACCTGGGTGGCTCAGTCGGTTAAGTGTCTGACTTTGTCTCAGGTCATGATCTCACAGTTAGTGAGTTTGAGCCCTGCTTCCAGCTCTGTGCTGACAGTCACAGCCTGGAGCCTGCTTCAGATTCTGTGTCTCCCTCTCTCTCTGCCCGTCCCCTGCTTGCTCTCTCTCTCTCTAAAAAAATTTTTTTTAATAAAAAAAGAAAGTGGGGCACCTGGGTGATTCACTTGGTTAAGCATAGAACTCCTGATCTCAGCTTAAGTCTTGCTCTCAATGTCCTAAGTTCAAGTACTTCCCTGGACTCCATACCCAATATGGAACCTGCTTAAAAAAAAAAAAAAAAAAAGTGAGCATGATGGAAGACATTATCATAATGGAATACAAGGTTAGTTTGGAAATTGAGAAATTAACTAGGAAACAGTTACACAAAATTATGAAATTTAAATAACAGTTGTTGAAAGTAAAAAAAAAATTTGCTATGATATTTGGTAAATTGATAAGTAGACATATTGACAAAATAGACTGTCATTAAATTAATTAATTGATAATAATTAATTTAGAATAAAATGTTAAATCAAAATATGGTCAATAAATTTGTATCTAATCATACCATTTTAAAATCTAAATTTAATGGTGTAGTGGAGAGTACTAAACCTCTGAATATTTTTAGAACTTTAAAAACTAAGATTCTCTTTGAAAAGTATAAATTTGTAGTCCTCATGGTAACATATATTTTCACATTAGTCATTAGCAATAACCAATACTGAACATTATTTACAAAGCATTAAACATTTCTGTTAAATTTTAAAGTTAGTATATGTGTTAAATCAGTTGTATTTGCCATTTGCTAAAGTGATCCTTTGGTGTATTGATTTCTTTTAACAAATTGTTTCCTGGCAACTGGGCTTTAAAATATAGCCAGATCAGAACAGAAAGGAATGTTGGTAGCATCTCCCAGCAAATTTTTGTGTGGACACAGGGAGACTATTTCTTCAAAGGATTGAGAGCATTTCCATGCTGGAATGGAAATTAGTTTTCTTTTACCTTCTCTGGATATAAAATCATGAGCTATATTAGCATAACTGTATATATATGTATTGTACCATGTTTGTATAATTTAAGCAAAAGAAAGATAATTGAAGAAAATGGAAGGAAAGAGGAAAGATAAGAAGTAGAAAGCGTGAATAACAATAGATAAAGTATGAGTTCTAAATAACAAAAACAGAATTGGGACTTTGAATTTTGCTATTTACTCGCCATTTTTGGAGACTTACTACCTTTCTTTTGGTCATCAGACAACAACTTGGGTAGTACTTAGTAAAAGAATAGTAGTATTATTGCAGGATTTTCTACCTCAATATTTAGGGTTCCTTGTCTTGTGGCTTCGAAGAATGAAGAGGTGGACACACTATGAGCAGCAGGTGAAAGTTTATTAGAGTATAAGTTTAGCAAATAAGAATAATATGATAGCTCTCTTTGTAGGGAGGAGGCATTTGAAAGGGAATGTCCACGACAGTAGGCAAAGGCCTTTGTTTTGAGATTATGGTCAGCCCTTGCTTCCCTTCTCCATTGTTCCTTCGCAGGTTCTACCCTTACAGGCTGCATAACTCTAGGTGCTGGCTTGTCCATTCCTGGTTGGCTCAACACCATTGTCTGAGGGGTGGTCTATGGCCGTATCATTCTTGTGGGCCCTTGTGTTTAATGGTCTACTACTTTTTTTTTAGTTATGTCTTTGTCAAGTTTCTGGGGGAAACCCGAGGGGGAGAGGTTACATTCTTAAGAGGAGCCTTATTTCCAAGGGGGTTTGTTGTGGTCAGACACTCCCAGCATTGTTCCAAAATCTGTTTTTCCCCACCGAGGGACCTCAAGTCCTAATCTTTCCCTCTCTACCTACTGAATCCTATCTTTTGCTATCAGACTGTCATTCCATTAAGTTCCCTATACTGCTGTGAAAAGGATAATTCATTTATAAGATGGTGTCAGAAAACTTAAACATTAATATTTTTATTCTGAAGCAAGTAGGAACACATGTGCATACATACACACAAAAGAGATAAACATTAAAATGTATCCTATATACAAATCAGTGTCAATAGTTTCAGTAAAAGGAAAAGAGATTAAAAATATAAAATTTTAAAAATCAAAGTTGTTAATTGTAAAAAACCTTACAGTTTTCAATTTGAATGGAACTACTATGAATTTCCAACATATTTTCTCTTAAAACTAGTATTTCCTACTTTGGTCCAAAGAAAATTTAATTATCTGACAACTCTTTTAGTTCTTTATTGGTATATTTAAAAATATTAGTGGCTTCAAACAATGAATATTAAATTGCTCACAATTCTGAGAATCAGAAATTCTGGAAGCAGAGGTGGCTCGTCTATGTTCTCCATAGTGTTTGGATAGCCTGAGAGAGGCCAGAGATCACCTTAAGTGGCTGGTCTGAATTGTCCAGGCTTCCTTCTTTTCATGGCCATTTTATATGTCTGGATCCTTGGCTGCTCTCCTTCTGGTCTCTGCCCCCATGTGTGGTCTTATCCTCCATGACATTTCTCTTCAAGCAGATACCCCAGACTTCTATTGGTGGTAACTGGCCTCCCAGAAAGCAAACAATGGAAGCTGGAAGTTTTCTTCAGGTCTGAGTCTGGACATCATACAAAAGGGCATAAACAGTAGAAGGAATTGCAGTTGCCATCTTTGGAAACCACCACAACCAAAAAACAATGAAAACTTCTAGCATCAAATTGGGCCCACTAGATATATTCCCCACTGAAAAGCAGCAGGACTTTTTGGTAAATGGCCAAACCTAGGTGCAGAAAATGCAGAAGACAAATTCAGAATATCTTAACACATCAGTAACCAAGGAAATAAAGCATATAAAGACAATCACAGTATATGCCTTGATGTGATGCTTCAGAAAATACATAAACAATGTACCAAATATTCTATCAAAAAATAAGTTTGAGTCTGTTCAAATCTGTAGTTATAACCATTAAGTCAAGTGAAATTCAAGAGTCAGAGGAGCATGTTAAACAAAAACATGTTTCTATCAGACTAATTTATGTTAGAAAGCGAGCTTCACCTTTTTATTAGCTCTTTAGTTTTGAGAAAATTATTTTACAGGAACTTCAGTCTCTTGTTATAAGATGGAGGTAAGAAGAAGATATTATTTTATGAATA